TGTCTCTCTCTCTCTCTCTCGCTCTCTCTGTCTCTCTCGCTCTCTCTCTCTCTCTCTCGCTCTCTCTCTCTCTCTCTCGCTCTCTCTCTCTCTCTCTTTCTCTCTCTCTCTCTCGCTCTCTCTGTCACTCTCTGCTGACTCTTACTGAATCACTCAACATGTGGAGCCTAGTCATAAATACCACCAACATTGACAGTAGCCATGGAAACACACTCTAGCAACACACATACGTTTCGAGTTTCGATCGCACCCGCTTATTGGTAGGGAAAAAGACTACGATTATTATAATTATACTGTCGGTTTCTCGATCATGGACTTGTATTCACGATATTCACTCATGCTAAACATGGGTCAAGGCTTCCAAGCAGGAGTTTAGGGTTTCGATGGCTAGACTGCTCACTGCATGCCAGTTCTTGGTTCTCGAATGATTTCGGGATTCTTTGGGGAGCTTTGGACTCGCGGGGATTTGGTCGAGAAGCGGCGTGGTCCCATTAAGAGAGGGGCCTTAATAATTAGAGTAGGGTTTGGGGGTCTATTCTACTATAGTTATAATAGGGAGCCTCAAAAGAGTATCGGTAATTATTTAGGACCCTATATTCTTTAGGCCCCGGCTTCGATGACGATGATCTTCCTTGTGACGATGCCGCCGGACCCCGCGCCTGTCCAAATGCGATTGTGGCCATCGCAGAAAACTCTAGACTCTAACCCTAAATCTCCAAACGCTACACCGGCATTAATACTTTTAATGGTCTACTACACGGGCCTTCTTCTGGTTTTGGGAAGGTCTTTTTGGGGTGCACTATAGATGTATGGGGCTGAGCATTTTTCTGCTCCAAGAGCATTTCGAACTTTGAGGCTGCGGAAATGTCAAGTACAAGGAGGTTCAAGCGACAGCGGCTACGAGTTTTGTCTTTTTGGGCTTCGTGGGTTCAGTGCAGGGCATGGGTGTTTCACGGTGACCGATTCGGGATGGCATCGGGGCTTGGAGGCTATCGGAATTAGGGTCCCAGGCCAAGAAATGATTCTACTCAAAACCGCAAACCCGAGGTCCGTGAGGAACCCACACCCAAAGAAGCAAACTAAGCCTTCAAACCCTAAACCCTAAACCCTAAACCCTAAACCCCTAAACCCAAAGAAGCAAACCAAGCCTTCTTCCCCCTTTGACAGCTCCGAGACGAGTTGGTCCATCTTCTCCTGCACGAAGAGATGGCCGTTCTCCTGCCGAGGCTCACATCCCCCGCCCACTTCGTAGCTATGATAAGCAGATGCCCAGGGTTGGAGAGGATGACCCAGCACAAAGACCTACTGCCGAAGAAGGTCTGAAAAGAAAGTCCTACATCCAAGCCCGACAAGATATGATGCGTGACCGTCTTATGGTTAATACTACTACACCCTAAACCTCTAAACCCCTAAACCCTAAACCGTCAAACCCTAAAGTATTAATCGCCTGCCGTAGTTGAACCCGCTTCTCCTTCGGCACCACCATGGCTTCCCCTTCCAGTTCGTCACCCTGAGGTGTAACCTCGAGTTCAGGTACCAGTCTGCGGGATTCAGGTCTAAGGGCTCCGGGGATAGGGTATACGGCTTGGCAGAAGCTTTCGGTGAAGGTCTGGGGTCCAGGGCGTTCGGGTGGGAGTGCGGGAGCATCAACGCCGGTGTTACAGGATATCCGCGCTTGAGGTCCGGTGAAAAATCTCGAAAGATCGGCCTCTGCTTGGCTGAAACATGGTCGAGCATGGTTCACAGATCAGTCCGTGCGCTCCGCTTTGCTTTCTCACTGGCAGAGCACCGCCCGAAGCGTGTGCAAGAGCCACAAGAGTGCGAAGACGTCCCAAGGAATATTCCTGGGCCGGGTGGCCGTGTAGACAGACAAAGTGGTCCGGCAGACGTCCGGATTCCGGCGCAGGCGAAGGTGTGTGGCCAGGCGTGTGCAGAAGCGTCGCCTCAGGGGTGGGGATGCGTTGAAGCAGCTATCAATCTTTCTTGACTCCTTTACGTACCATCGGTTCACTGCTGCCGTCATAGTGATGCTGATGATGATGACAGTGATGTGGGTGAGGAGATGGCGAGGATGGTGGTGATGATGAAAATGATGATTATGATGATGATGATGATGATGATGATGATGATGGTGATGGTGACGATACCCGCAAGTAGTAACAGTTGAGATGATGGCGATGGTGATGATCTGTTAGTGCTGGTGACGTGGTGACGGCATTGAAGAGCTGATTTCAAGTGAAGAGAACACCCTCAATTTGAAAAGGAACGAACTGACCCTAATAAAGCCAAAACACCCCCGAAACCCTCGACCCTGAGAGCTCTGGTCCGCGTGGCTTCCGTGGGAAGATCGGAAGCATTGCCAACATTTCCAGAATGGTACTCTTGCCCGCACTCTCGTCGCCAACCACGATCCTAAGCGTTTCCCGCTACAGGAGTGAAAGCTGGTGCTTCACCCTTGAGAAGTAGTAGTTCATTCCTGCGCGGCTGCTGGCAAATGCGGAACAAAAGTCCAGTCCCTGCGACTGCATTGGCTTCCATGTGGCATATGCCATGTACGATGACTGCTTTGTGAATGGTTGTAGTGTTTAGCATACTTGCAAGCTGACACCGGGGCTTCAGGATGCTCCCATCTTCCACTGCAGGGTACATTCGTTGTGGTGTCCATCCGTCCAGAACTTCGAGGAGGAGCCCCCGCAGCGGATCCAACACCTGCCGGCAATCGGTCTTCGAGAAACATGTTCAATAATCATTGGTAGGTTACTTCGGCGGCAAGTTGAAAGACGCCCTTCGTAGTGTAGTGATCTTGGTAGGTAGGGCACAGCTTCTAGTCCACTTACCAAGTTGACGAATCTTGGGTTCAAGGGTGTTAAGCGCTTAGGTCGAAACCTGCATCCTACACTGTAGACAGCGATCAGAGGACCTCGTAAGTAGCTGATTAAACCTGCAAATTTAAATGCCTTAAGGGCAGCGATCTTGATTATGACCGTATTAACCTCCTCATTATCACCTATTTACCCAGTCACTTTTGAAGAACTTGTGCTCCACTCCACCAACTCTTGCGGCCAAAATCGTGCACGAAGCTCCACAGGCGTACAGCACAAAGTCCCGACACAGTTCGTGATCTAAAAACATTCAAGCGCGAAATTAGAAGCGGTGTATGGACTATTCCAGATTCCCAAGTCGACGCTCTTGGCTTGCAGCCAAGGGGCTCGGAAAATCTTGCTCAGGGTGTAGGACATGTCCTCCGTCGTCAAAACCCTGAACCCCTGCGATCCGAAAAGTTCAAATCCCAAACCCTAGACCCCAAAAAGAGCCATCAGGGAACCCTGGCCTGGCAGTTTTGAAACGGAAAAGAAGTCGGAGTTCCTGCCTCCATGTCGGACATTGAATGATACTGATAACAACCAAACCGACAACGAGAAGTGCAAGACAAAGTTCAACCAAGTTGGAGCTTCAGGCTTGGAGTTTCGACGGCAACGCCGTTGAAGGCGGAGGCATGGGCTTCGGGGGCTCAAGGATATATATATATATACACACCTCCAAGAAGGGCTACCACTACCTGCGTTGCAATCCTGACGCCATGCCAGAAGGACATCCTGCGGCCCTCAATGCAAGGGGACCCTTGTGGCAAGCTCCGAAGCTTCAAATGAGGATTGCCTACAGCAGTCTCCACCTTGGGGCTTAGGTATTAACCGAGGAGTCCCAATCTCGGAGTGCCTGGGACTGCGCTGCCCGTTGCCTCACACCGCTTTGGTCCTTTGCCGGACTGGTCGGCGTTAAGACCTGTGTAGCACAGCATTGGAGGCTCGTGAACAGGTGTAATGTCAACGCCGCTGTCACCGCCGTAGTATCGTCGTCACCATCATCAACTTTGTCATTGTCTACGCCAAGAACAGCAACATCATGACCACCATCATCATCATCGTTACCAACGTCATCGTCATCTGTCCCCGTAGTTGCGGATGCTCCTTCAGAGCATGCACAACCGGGACCTGCCATCCCCCGACATGAAACCTGAAACCCGCAAACCTTGAAGCTATGCTTTGCTCTCTAGCGGGTCGCGATCTCACTACCGGAACTGCGCCTCCACAGCCTCCCAATCTGAAGAATCCGACGTCTCCGCCGGCGGAGAAATCACCTTCAGATGCGGGTGACGGCAGCTACGAAAGGGCACTAAGAGGAATGAGCTGTGAGGCTTGAGGGCTGACGAGTGCTGGCTGGGGCTCAGGACCCCGCAACCGAAAAACCCTCAAGACCGCGGGGCGGGAGAGCTCTGGAGCAACAAGACAGCAGACAAGGGACCTAATTAAGTCTTGGAGTATACTGTACTATAGCAACCTAAAAGACGAGTAGTAGTAGTAGTAGTAGTAGTAGTAGTAGTTGTTGTTGTTGTTGTTGTTGTAGTAGTAGTAGATGTAGTAGTAGATGTAGTAGTAGATGTAGTAGTAGATGTAGTAGTAGATGTAGTAGTAGATGTAGTAGTAGTAGTAGTAGTAGTAGTAGTAGTGGCTTTCCGGGCAACTAGGAAAAGGGTTTGTTGCACACTTCTCTGCGATTTCATGGGAAAAGACCAGGCAATTGAGCTTCCAGGGTTTCATAGCCTTTCATCGGTACGGCTTTGCAGTCAGTGCTGCGGGGCCGTGAGAAGGGCACCCCCAGCGTTCAGGTTAGAATAGATTCCGCTTCCTGCACCTCGAGGATTCTGGATTCTAGGCCGCAGTCATGCCTAAATTTGTGATTATTATTATTACTCTTATGATTATCATTATTATTATTACTAGTATTATCATTATTGATATTGTTATTTGTGTTCTTGGACTTTGCTGGCCGAAGGATTCTCCTTCTCAAAGGTCCTGAGCCAACCTAAGGGGCCTTGTGGGGACCAACCGAGGACCGAGAGCCAACAGCCTGAATCCAAACACTCACACCGACCCCTACTTGGAGGATCATGGGACTTAGTAACTAGGGTTATAAATACGGTAGCTAGACTTATAATCTTATAACCCCAATTAGGGTACTTATAACCTTACTTACTAAGTCCCATGATCCTCCAAGTAAGCCGTAGACGGCTCCATGCAAGCAGACACGTGGCCAGCGTGCGCTGCAGTGGAGTTGGACCCGGGGCATTCCAGGTAATCGTTAGCTCCTGCAGCCGAGTGCCCAGATCGCTCGAACCCATGCGTGTTTGGCCTCGAACATAAAATCGGCTCAGTTTAGGGTGTAGGGTTTAGGGTTTAGGGTTGAGGCTTTGGGGTTTAGGATGTGTCCAGGAACTGATGTATCTTGTGCAAGTCCGCGACCTTCGCACAGCATGCGCATGTTTCTGCGGGAGCGGTCAGCCTAGCTGGTGATCACGGCTTATGGTTTAAGGCATTGGGGAACAACAGACATCAAATTTGTAGACATGCTGTGCATTGCATTGATGAACCCTGTCACCTTTCAACAATGGAAGCCTGCCCGTCTTCAAAGCTCAACCAGCAGTAGGATTCAGAAGGTGGAACTGTTTCAAGCTTCGAAAACCTGCACGCACGATGACTCTGATGCACAACATCATAACTCGGCTGAGGGTTGGGTGCTTCGGGTCCCTCACACTCCAGGCGATAGCAGTACATCGGTGTCAAAGTTCTCAGCAGGTCTCCTCAGATGGCGGGTTGTCCACAACTGCCTGCAGCTCGTCGATGGCCTGTTGAATCACTCAGCCCTTAGCCCAGAAACGGAACACCGCAGCCTAGACCCTCTGGGCTTGGGTTTAGGTTCTTTTCAACTTGAGGCTAAAAGATTCCCGGTTAGAGTTTATCGGGCAATCCTCCGCAGGATGGCTGTAAAACCTTGACACAGGCAGACCCGAAGCATCAAGCTGCATAACGGCTGGTCAAAGACCCTACCCTCGATCGTAAAGAAGGCTGTAGAATGGAATGCAGGTCGGAGGGGCCGGTTTTGGTGACATTTCTATTGCTATTGATGGCATTCCATATTCCTGCTGTGATTCTGAGGTTACTATTACTGTTGGTGTTAGTCTTGTTGTTGTTATAGTTGCGATGACTCTCACAATGAATGTTACATAGTAACATCGGCGTTGTTGATATTCCTATCATGATTCTGAGCACCATAATGTTACAACGAATTCTGCAAAAGTTTGCAACTTGCATGCGAGCGCCCTGCCAATCCAACCCAAAGCCATGAACCCTGAGGTCAGGGTGCAGTGTTTATTAAGCTTGTCCCCTTTGCGGAAAACCCGGAGCCATCTGAGAAGGACCACAAAGGTCTTCCGCGACTTCTGGGTTTGGGGCTTAGACCTTGGTTCGGTTCCGGGTTTTGGTATGATTAGGGTTCAGGGTTTAGGGTGGGTTTTTGGGGAGTAGGCCTGTGTTGCGCAGCTGAAGCCAGAAAAGCTTAAGGTTTGGGTAAGGCGGAAGAAGCTAACTCTTCGGTTTCGAAATTGTTTCGGAATCGAGCCATGCCGTACTGGCAGGCCCTGAGACAGCCTGCACACAGTAAATGCCAGCATCCCCACGACCGAAAGCTGCACGGACTGTGCCGGGACAGAGATCCCTGACTCTACAACCTGTCCCTTCAGACTCTGACACCAAAAAATTTTCAAGTCCCCAAACCCTAAACCCTACAGTCCCTGAACCCCGCCGCCCAAATCCCAGAGCGGGCAACGAAAGCTTGGCCTCTTTTAGGTCGCTGTTGCCTTCCAACCTAACTCTGAGCTCTTGGGTTCGGGGACTAGGGTTTCGTTTTTTGGGGTTTTTTTGTGCTTCGGTTTCGGGCTTAATTAGGGTTTAATGGTTTGAGGATCAGGGTTCATCCATGAAGGTTCAGGGTTTAGGGCTTCGGTTTGCATGTAGGAAACCTTTACAGCCAGTTTCAACCCGAAGATGGGACCAGACTTAAGAAGAGCCCTCGGCTTAGCCTTCTGAGGGCATGGCGGTGGTGTTCCTCTGATTCTCTCATTCTTGAAGGTACAGGTATACGCCTTCAGCTTGTGAGTTCTAGCCTTTCTGGAGTTTCGGAAACGCTTGAAACCGCTGTTCTGTCCAACGCGATGACGGGCGGTCTCGGGCGTTGACAGCATACGGTTGAGTCTCAAGTTGAGGTGGAGGTTCAGCCTGACACCCGCAGTCTGAAGATTAGAACCTGACTCCTCACCAAATCAAGCCCTACGTAATCGTCTAACCCTAAAGCTAAGCACCGAAAGCAACCCAAAACCGGAAGCACATATGCCCGTCAGCGACACACCAGGACCCCGACGCAGAGCCCATGGGATTTCGCGTCTGAGGGGACACCTCCTTCTCCTGCGATGGGCAAGTTCAGGGATTGAAGGTTGAGGGAAGGCTGCGAGATGTCGGGGTCGTGCCTAGGGTTCAGTATTGCGCAAGGCCAATCACAAGGATTCTGCGTTTCGAACAGAATCGAAACCAACATAGCCAGCCAGAAGCACGAAGGCTTTTTTACAAGCCTTTAGCAGGGTGTCGCTCTTGCTTTTCCAGTCGTTCAGTTCACGCTTTACTTTTGGGTGCAAGGATTCGTTTGAGATGTCGTGATTTCTACACCCCCCCCCCCGTCCCCACCCCCCCCCCCCGGTGCAAACTGGCGCCACAAAATGGTTCCGACAGTGAAGTGACCCTCAGCCCCAAGAAAAGAGGAGAGATGGTAAGGGCTGAAGAGAGGCAGTCTCAGAGTTCAGTGCAGGTCTCTCGCAGCAACTGCGCGAGCCCTACAGCTCAACACCAACAAACTCTACAGACTACATAACCACGGAGACCACGGAGTGGTAGGCAGGCACTTAAAGACTTAGCAACGTCTGAGGTCAACTCTTGCGGTCCTACATTTGCCCAACCGTCCCCGGCTCCTGAAGCCATGCCTCGATCGCCGAGCGCTCATAGCTGTATCCATCCTTCCAAAAGGACTTCGACTTGAGATGAAGCCCGTTTGGGAGTTTCCGAAAATTAGGGTACCTGATTTCGGGGCCCTTATAATAAGGATCCTACTATTTAGGGCACTATATTAGGTTCCCCTATTTTTGGAAACCACCGTTTAGAGCCAAGGCATTAGGGCTGACGAGGTTCAGGGCTTCTTGTTTAGGGTAGAGTTGTAGGATGGTATAGGGGTTTAGGTAGAGTTGTAGGATGGTATAGGGGTTTAGGGTGGAGTTGTAGGATGGTATAGGGGTTTAGAGAGTTTAGATGAGCTTAGGATCTTTGGGGTTGAGGGGTTGGGGTTGAGGGCTAGGAGTTCTGGGTTCAGGGTTGCACAAACCCAAAGAATCCGAACTTCGAACACAATCGAAGCCTCGTGCCTCAAACCCACTACCCAAATCCGAAATCCTGCATCGCCAGCCTCCAGCAAACTTCAAACTGCTCTAGGTGGGCCTGCTGAAAACATAGCTTCTCCAGTGTCCCCTTGATGATGACACCGCTTTGCTGGCATTGAGTTTTAGCAAGGGAGCCATACAATAACAAGGGCAAAAGGGTACTGCAGGGGAACCTAGACACTCATACCCCACCCTCAAACATAAGCCAGACAGCTCCTAAAGTCCCGCACCCGAAGCCAGCAACCTCTGCTCCAGATGAAGTACGGGGTCTATTAGGGGAAAACAGATCGAGTCCCGAGGCCATTGTCTTTACAACTTCTGCAAGATCACTCGGAAGCGCAGGAAGCTTCGTGTAACACCTAACGGCCTTCCAAACTGCTCCAGCCAGGAGCTCTGCTGAAGATGCCATCTCAGCTTTTTCTAGTGGGCCCCGGAAAACGCAGCAAAGATGCCTCTGCCACAACAGGGTCCGTCATGGGGCGCCCTCCGATAGGGCACATGAAGTCTGCCACCATGGGCTTCTCGTGCAGGATCTGGCGAAGGCTTGTAAAGGGTGAGAGTGTCAAATCAGCGCCCGGGTTCAAAAGCCACAGAAGCTCATAGAACCCTACGGACCCTTTAATTTCAAGCCCAAGCTGCTTAGGTTAAGGGTTCAGGGCCAAGAATCCTGGGGAAGGCCAGCAGTCAGTGTGAGTAGCAGAAGTGATGAGAGAGGAGCCCACCGACGCATGACGCTACGTGTCCTGCTAATGCCTGATGTCCTCAGGGGCTTTCCAAAGCTTTAGGTTTCGGGGAGGATTAACTTCAGAGTGTCTTTTAAGCTATTCGGGGCCCATGGCTGCTGGAGGGGTCCAAGCAGTGGCTCTCTAGAACCTAAACCCCCATCGGCTTGAGGCTGTCAGGTTGCGGGGTTTAGTCCAGGGTGCGGGTCGGTTGAGGTTGAGGGCATCCGAAATTCTGTGAAGAAAACTAAATCCTAAACCCTAAACCTGAGTTCAAAAGTTTGGGACTCCGGAGCAACGTGGGACTCCGGAGCTGAGACTGTCTCCAAAAGTGGCTGCTTTAGGGTTTAGGGTTTAGGGTTTAGGGTCCAGAGCTACAGCGAAGGCGTCGGGGGGGGCCTGCAGAAACTTTCTGTAGGACCTGCGCTGAGTTGCATCCATGGCGGCGGTGACCGCGGAAGAAGAAGGACAGACAGATGAACAGCTGACGAGATCCGATCTCGAGCCGAAAAGCAATGAGTCTCGGGCTGGCAAGAATTTGAGAACAGCCTGCCTCTGAGCATTCAATCCGCCGTGACACACTCCAGCGGTGGACCCAAATGCCTGAACCTTTGAAACACCTTCCGCGAGGCAAAAGCCACGACAACGCCGATGGTAGAATCACGCAGGGTTGTTGCCCGTTTCTGTCAGAAAGGAACAGTTGCAGTGAATCAAACCTGCTCGGGATAGCTAGGGATTAGCGGGGCTTCGGTGCTGGGTTTCTCCGCTTGGGCTTGAAAATCTCGCAGGGCTTGTGAAACTACACCTCGACACGTGCATTGGCCAGTGCAAGTGCTGCCACTCTCTGGCAGCCTTCCAACTGCCCTTCAAAGGCCTGCATTAAGAATTCTGGCACCGATTGCCCTGATGCAAAATCAGCCGCCGTCCAGTTGCGCGAGTTGCGCAAATCCAGCCGCGCGCCCGCAGCAATGAGTGCTGCAGCACCTTCATACTGGCGCGACATGACAGCTGCCATTAAAGGCGTCTGATTGCCTCGATGGTATGCCCATCGACTCATTAAAGTACTTCTGCCGAATCGGTGTTGTAAAGACTTCGCGGCAAACAACATGCGCCCAGCGACGGTCAAGCCTGGGCTGTTCTTAGAAGCCCTTCAAAACTACACTTCTTGCTCCTTCTCATGACTCTACAAATGTACTACCCTCAAATATAAAGACGACTTAGACTACGCTGTGTCACTATGCTCGAGTATAGAAGTTATCTTCAAGAACGGCATAACCACTGGCCCCGGTCGTAATTGAGGGGCCTGAACACGCAGAGATGGGTTCTTCAGGGTGTTTTCAATTCCCGAAACCCTGCGCCTGCACCCTAAACCCCCAAAACTCCCAAAACCTAAACCCTAAACCCTAAACCCTAAATTCCCAAATCCTACTGTGAGACCCAGAAGCTGGTATTCGCGTTTGCGTCAGCTCGTAGCTCCAGGAGCCGGTGAACGATCTCCTTACTTCCCCAATAAGCCAGGGAAATAAAAGGTTAAACTTTCAGGTTACTACTAAATCAGCAGAAGAACCCAAAAAGTTTAAAGGTTGGGTATTGGGGAACTAAGTCTCTGCGCTGGCTCCACGAATCGATGCAGCCGCATAAAGCGGCCGGGAAAAATCCACATGCTGCCTTAGTGTAGTGGGTTTAGGGTTTATGGTTTGGGGGTTTAAAGTTTAGGGTTTGGGGATTTAGGGTTTAGGGGCGGGGTGCCTCAAAGGAGAACACGTCTTAACTCACAGAGCTAGCATTGGTAGAGCATGGGGGGTTCCAGTTTGGAGGCCTGTGATGGGATTTAGTGCGTTTAGGGCTGATGGTTTTTGCTGAGGTTAGCCGCGGCTTGCCCTGGCCCCCAAAAATGGTCAAAACCTCGTCAGGTATTGTATGATTGTATAAACTCAAAAAAACTTAATTAAAAGGCTACCCCCTTAAGATCTAAATCCGCAAACCCTGAACCCTAAATCCGAAACCCTATTCAGCCCCATTCCTTAAGTAGCTGCTAGGATGCAAGTCGTGTCCTGCTTGCAGGACGAGCTCCTCCAGCGCTTCGAGTGACCCCCAGGTAGCTGCATACTCCAAGGCGGAGTCCCCCATCAGGTTCTTCTTGAATGGCCGACTGCCGGCCCTGCAAAGGATTCCTGGTCGTTCATATTGGGTTTAGGGTTTAGGGTTCAGGGTTTATGGTTTAGGGTTTATGCAAAGGTTTAGGGGGTCGGATTTAGGATTTCGGGTTTAGGCCGTAGGGTTCAGGATTTAGGGTTAGATTCAGTATTTTTAAGTTTGCCCGAAAGAGCCATGAACAGGTATTTCCACAGGACAACAATGGAAACTAGAATGAGGGAGGTCAAGATTTTCCCAAAACACCACCCACCTTAAGAACCCCAAACCTACTTTTTTGTAGAGTCCCTGAAAATCCCATATTAGGGTTTATAGTAAGAACCTACCAAGAAGTGGGTTTTGGGGTCTTGTGGTTTAGACTAAACCGCCAAACCCGAGAGTCGGACAAGATTCGGACACCTTCCCTAAACCCTTAACCCTGAACCCCCAGATTCGGACTAGATTCGGACACCTTCCGGATCATTTGCACAAGCAGGCCCTGCCATGTCCGGGTGCAAGCCGAAATCCGTTGTGGCCCTGGCGGAGATCCGAAAGCACTTCCGGGTTTAGGCTTTAGAGGTCTACGGCCTGTTTAGGGTTCAGGGTTTAGGGTTTAGGGTTTAGGGTTAGGGCTTAGGGCCTGGCAGAGATCAGCAGGCGAATGAGCTGGTGGTGCTTAAGGAAACCGGCCAAGCCAAGCATCGTGGTTCCTACCGTTGCCCCTGCCAAGGGCTGATCTTTTCGTGTCCATCGGTTTATTTCTGCCCGGAGTTGGAGCAGGCCCTGCAACACCAACGGGTCCCCACGCAGAGCGGCATAGTGCCCCGGGGACCATCCGCCGGCATCAACTTCATGTACCGTTGCGAATCCGTTCTGGTAGAGGAATCTCTGTGCAGACAATGTGCAAGCGTCCTGCTCAAAGCTATCCGGCGCGAATCCTGGAACTAGGTCGTCTGTTGCTTGGGCCGGGAAGCCTCTTAGATGGATGCCTTGCAAGTTGAGGTGCACACGGTACCCAACCAGATCTTCGGCCATCATAAGCAGCCTCAACTTCCGCTGCAAGGCTTGCTGAAGCACTTGAACCAGCTTGGTTCGATCATCTTTCTGCTTGAACTGCCCTTCCCCTGCTGACTGAACAATGAAGCAGGCAGATGCCGTAAGCTCCAACTCCGTGTTGCCTTTGATCATAATCCAGGAGGGATCTGGCGACAGCTCTCGCAACACTCTTTCGATGCGACACCATCCTCTCTCGCTCCAAGATCCCCCGGTAAATACTTTGCCTAAAGACTCGCTTTCCACCACGGGACAGAGAGCGAAGAAGAACTTGCATCTGGCAATGTACCCAGGAATGCTGTCAATGGCCCTGGCCAGGCTGCTTTCCCTCCCGGCTGCGCGGCGGTGTCGCTCCAGCTGCGGACACGACATATAGTCATACCAAAGATGAAGCGGCTTCGCCTGCAGATCTGATACAGGAACGGGCTTCGCTCGTGGGAAGAAGGCCTCGGTAAATATATCGAAAGGAATGTTGCCGACACCACAAAGCACGTGCGTCAGTGCGCTCTGCACCACCCGCAGCTGCTTGCTCTCTGGATCCGGATGCACGTTGCCCACCCACTGGTGCGAAACAAACACAGCATTGCCCATGCTCTCGTCAAATTCAAAAAGGAGGCCCTGTGCCTTCAATTCTTCATGTGGCTCCACCTCCGCTGTCTTTTTTCTGGCTAGAAGCTGATGTTCAACACTCAGCCACAACTTGAAGCTTAAATACCTCTTGAGGAAGACTGGCAACTAAATCCGGGGAAGTTGCCGGGATCCATGAACCCTCACGACAACTTCTTTTCTCCGATCCCAGCCCCCGCCTCCGCCATCTGCAAAACGGCTTCGGCCGTGACAGTGTACATGGGGAATTGGATGGGTGCGACTTCCATACCTGGCCGAGACAAAAACCAATCTACAGAGCCACGCATCACACTCTGCTCGGGTACAACGACGGTACAACTACTCTGCAGAGTCCCTAGGCCAAAGAGCAGTAGTAGTAGCAGTGGTAGTAGTAGTCGTCGTCGTACTCGTAGTCGTAGTCGTAGTACTAGTCGTAGTCGTAATAGTAAGTAGTAGTAGTAGTAGTAGTAGTAGTAGTAGTAGTAGTAGTCGTAGTCGCAGTGGTCGTCGTAGAAATGGTAGTTGTTGTGGCTGTGTCAGTGGTAGTATAGTAGTTTGAACTGACAGCTTTTCTGCGGTGGGGGCGTAGTGCATGTAGTCAATGTAGTCTAGTGCGACCGAGCGGCCCTTCTCATGGGACTGGTCTCGCAAGGTTTTCGCGAATCGCGCGAGGGCAGACGGCACTGCGCCAGATTTTATGCAAGACATTGCTGGAGGCAGAGGCTCTTGCTGTGTATGTGCAAAGAAGTAAAATATATTTAGTAATGCAGCTCCTTATATGATGAGACTATACAATATCCCCAAAACCCGTCGTCGTCGTCGCACCGTGAACAAGCACAGCTCGAGCTCAACTATTGCAATTGACGACCCGTGTCAAAGCTCTGTCATACATAAGGGATCCGCATGACCCCTGGCCCTAAATCCTACACGGATTTTCAAATGGACCACCAAGAGCTCCCAAGTGGAGCCTGTGGCGCCTGCTACTTTGGGCCTCGAGAAGCAATGATGCACTGGGGCTTAGGGCATAGGGTCAAGGAGTCAAGGGCCTCAAGGGGCTATCGGACCTGGATCCACTAAGGAACATGTCGGCAGTTCCCAAACACCCTGAACCCCCAAAACCCCCAAACCCCAAATCCCTAAACCCTAAACCCTAAACGCTAAACCCTAAACACCTGAACCCTGAACCCCAAAACCCCAAATCCCTAAACCCTAAACACCTGAACCCCAAAACCCCAAACCCCGAAAACTTAAACCCTAAACCCTCCTCTGTAATAGGGCGCGTAAAGGTTTAGGATTCGAGGTTCGGCTTCCGTTCGCGGGTCTAGGGCTCAGGTTTCTGAGTCCCCAGTGTGGGAGCGCTGAGTTTCTCACGAAGGGCTTTCGAGTTTACTTACATTTTTAGAGCTAACTCAAACTACAGTCTAGGGTGGGTTGTGCTTCTACGCTTGAGGATGGAAGATTGAGGATCTAGGTTCACGATTTTGGATCTGCAGCTGTATCCATAAACGGACCCTCACGCAGAGAACGGCCCGGCTTTGGCACCTTACTTCGGTCCCCAACCCTTAACCCTCCTCAATTCCTTAGCCCCGCCACAGAGTGAACCCATTTTCGCGTGTTCGGCCGTGGCGATGGTAGGGAGTCGTTGGTCAAAACTCGCTCGGTGTCGGTGAACCTGGACCTCTGCCACGAGCCGAGCCGTACTCCCAAGACCAAAAACTCCCTGCTAGGATGTATAAGAGTTTAGGGCTTCGGGTTTTGATTCAAGGTTGATGGCTTTTAAGTCTTAGGGTTTAGGATTTAGGGCGCTTAGCGCTTTGGGGTGTAAGGTTCAGAGTCTCGGGGTTTGGAGGTGCTTTGGGCGCAGGCAGCTGTAGGGGTTTCAGGCTTCTCTTGACACAGAGATCCCGAAGCCGTACTCCAAAATGCTGTTCTTATGATTGCAAAATCCTATGATGAGACCCGGCTTTCAGGCTTGAGCTTTCGGGGTTGGGCTTCAGGGCTTGTAGGGTTTAGGCTTGAGGGTTTAGAGGTTTCAGAGTGTAGGCTTTAGGCCCATACCAGGACTGAATCCAGGAACACCGCGTCTGCTGAAGCCATCACACTGCTTTCGCCAAGCTTTCCGAAGGCTGGCGCCCGCTTCAGGTTTCAAATCGAAACCATGAACCCCAAACCCCTTAAACCCTAAACCCTAAACCCCCTAAACCCTAAACCCTAAACCCCAAACCCCCTAAACCCTAAACGGGCCTCGGTGACCCTAAAGCGTCATTCTACGATTCAGGCCCATTTCTTGCAGTAGGGCTTGAAATGCTTGGCGATTTGCGGCTGTAGAGTTGAAGCTCAAGGTGTAATTCTTCGGGCTTCAGTGGCTTGGCGCTTCCGGAAATCAGCTGATCCAAGACTCAATTCTGTTCGCTTTTGCTTACGAAAACTAGGGTCCACATGAAGATCTACGGCAGTACTTCAAAGACCTGCAAAGATCTGGACTTTCTTTAGGCTTGTGGAAACCCAAAATCCGGCAGCCTAAACCCTTACCCGAGGCCCTTAACCCTGTATATATCCTTAACCCTTGAAGATCTCAGATACGATGGTGATCGCAGGCGTATCTCTTCCTGAAAGCACGGCAAAGTACTGGAAGGATCAGGGGACTTAGAAAGCAGCTCGACTAATTCCTACTCGCATCGCCTTAACATCTTACAGCCTGTACCGAAGGCCCAAAACCAGTTGTAGAGATCCTTGAGATTGTAGAGCTAGAAGTAGAGGTAACCCTACCTTCGACCCCGCCGTGGCCTACTTGTCATCCAAGCCCACCCTTAACCCCAAACCACCTAATTATACCCGAAACACCAGGCCCGAAACCTCTGAACCTCTGAATCCTAGAGCCCCCTGATCCTCTAGCTAAGGTGGGATGGGCTTGTACAGGACTTTGCCAGAACGCATCTTGCTTGGGGGCGCTGAGGCCCTTGAGCTTCCAGCGGAGGCTCGTCAAGCGTTCCTTTAAGGGTTCCTTTAGAAGTTCCTCTGAGGGTACTATATAGGGTTTTAGTCAAGGGTTCCTTTGAGGGTTCCGTCAAGGGTTCCTACAAAGGTCTTAGCTGTAGGGCTTCAAGGCATTGAGCCGTTACTTTTGGGATTTCAGAGCTGCAGGGTGAAGTTACGCATCTAAGCTTACAGCTTCCTGGTATCAACAACAAGCAATAACAGCTTACTTACTAGGATTAAGCTTGCATCAACCTTTTCAACGACAGTAACAGAGTGGCTCACTGCAACCAAACAAGAATAACAAATATCGCCACTTTGGTACTCGTAGTCATGGTAACAGGTATAGTGTGACAAGAGCACTGACTACAGTACAGCTACCTACCTACAAATAGTCATTCTGATAATGCAAACGCTTAGACAATTTCTGATGCTCGTGACCGTAGAAGATACCAGTACTCGGTGCCACAGAGTGACATGGGCCGTGGATGCAGCTAGGTCCCTACTCGTCCCGTGCTTCTGCTTGCGATTGTTTGTGTCACCCAAAGCTGGTTAATCCTTGCAGTCTGTTGGCCGGTGCTTGAAAGGCCGTGCTGCGCCGCACGGGGCGAAGACGTGAAGAAGAATAAGTGCCCTCATTTTTGCGACCGACTTCGGTGGCAACATGATCTCCCTAGACCCCATGTGTGCGACTTTGCTGTAAAGAGAGCTGAAGACTGGGTGGGTCTCTGTGTGTGTGTGTGCGCAGGATTAAAGCTTAGAAAAAAAGTTCCAATAACACTCTAGAACACACAACAAGCGTCGAATAAAAGCAAACACATACCCAAATGCCCTGTGAAAAGAAGTACCTAAGGTAAGAGCCTAAATAATTACCAATACTATTGTGGGGGTTCCTTATTCTATTCTAGTTACAGCATAATATACCCCAAAACCCTATTCTAAATAGTAGAGCCCCCTGTACTACTAGGGGAGCCTCTTGAGGCCGCAGCAGGAAGCCGTGCACAAATGCCTGGATGTTTTTGCTACTTGGACACTCTTTCGATGCGGTAATACTGGTCAGCACAATGGGTTATAGGGCTCAGGGCTTAGGGTTTAGGGCTTCGGGTTTAGGGTTTAGGGCTGAGGGTTTAGGGCCTAGGGTTTAGGGCTTAGGGTTTAGGGCTTAGGGTTCAGGGCTGAGGGTTTAGGGTAGAGGGCTCAGTAGGGCTTAGGGTCTAGGTCCTTGAAAGCTTCTGAAAAACCACTCCTAA